AGCCTGGCGATGCTTTTGATGCATCAGAGAAACCCGGAAAAAAAGAAAGAAAGAAAGAAATGCTTTGGAAAAACCAAAAGTTGCTCCCTGTCTTTTTTTTCCAGTCTTTTATTCCCCCCCCCCCGAGATTTCTCTCTGATGCTCTTAGCACAACAGGGAAAATCTCAGAATTGCTGAGAATCCAAACGCTATTTTTTTTCCTCTACCGCCTTCCCACCTTTCTAATGGAAAATTAATTACAGGTTATAGTCCTTGACTTACAACTGTTCCTTTAGGGACCGCTCAAAGTTACAAGAGCACCGAGAAAGGTGACTTGACAACGGTTGCAGCACACCCCCCCCCATGGTCACACGATCAAAATGGGGGCGCTTGCCAATTGGTTTGTGTTTGGGGGTGGCAAAATCCTGTGATCGCCATTGGTTGCCTTTCCAGCAAGCAAAGTCAATGGGGGAAAGCCAGATGTGCTTAGCAACTGCGCGATTTGCTTAACAACTGGGGCAAAAGGGCTGTAAAAGGGGGCGAAACTCACTTTCACAACCGCCTTGCTTAGCAACAGAAATTTTGGATTTAGTAATAATAGTAATAGTAATAATGATAATAATGATAATGATAATAACAACAACAACAACAACAACAACAACAACAACAATAATAATAATAATAATAATAATAATAATAATAATAATAATAATAATAATAATATAAAAAATTGGAAGGGACCTTGGAGGTCATCTAGTCCAACCCCCTGCTCAGGCAGGAAACCCTATACCATTTCGAACAAATGGCCATCCAGTCTTTTCTTAAAAACTTCCAGTGTTGGAGCATTCACCGCTTCTGGAGGCAGGTTGTTCCACTGGTTAATTGTTCTGACTATCAGGAAGTTTCTCCTTAGTTCTAGGTTGCTTCTCTCCTTGATTAGTTTCCATTTATTGCTTCTCGTCCTGCCTTCACGCGCTTTGGAGAATAGCTTGACTCCCTCTTCTTTGTGGCAGCCCCTGAGATACTGGAACACTGCTATCATGTCCCCCTCGTCCTTCTCTTCATTAAACCAGACATACCCAATTCCAGCAGCCGTTCCTTATATGTTTTAGCCTCCAGCCCCCTAATCATCTTTGTTGCTCTTCTCTGCACTCTTTCTAGAGTCTCAGCATCTTTTTTACATCGTGGTGACCAAAACTGGATGCCGTATTTCAAGTGTGGCCTTACCAAGGCCTTGTAAAGTGGTATTAATACTTCACGTGATCTTGATTCTATCCCTCTGTTAATGCAGCCCAGCATTGTGTTGGCCTTTTTGGCAGCTGCAGCACCCGGCTGGCTCAGATTTAAGTCAAGGACTTCCTGTGTACTGTATTCAACTGTTGTCCCTTATGCTCATTATGCTTTCTGTTCTATTTGGAGAAATCAATAGGGTGCCCCCCCACATAGGAAATGCCCTGCAGACAGAAATCTAGTATATCAAGCAGAGGAGGTCAGCCATGTTTATCCTCTGATGAGCTACTGTTCTCACATTCAAAGAAATCTTTTTAAAATAGGTTTTCAAGTATTGCATGATACTTGAAACTGACTTTGGTTGCAAAGATCTCTCTCGTTTACATCTGCGTAAACTCGGTTGCTATGCACAGAAGCACTCTGCGGGCTTAGCACATTTACCCTGGAGAAGCCACATTACCAGGCTCTTAACTAAAACATCACCAGTAGGTGATGCTCTAATATATCAGGAAAAAAAAAACCCATCAGGAAACTAAGCCATTCAATAAACGTAAGACATCTGAAGGCTGATGAAGCGTATTTTCTGCTATCAAATGCATTTTTTTTTTCATTGAAATTGTATTCGTGTGACAGTTGGTTGCAACTGTTGTTACCTTGGGGTGATAAAAGAATCAACAGAAGTCGTATCGGTACATGTGGTGTTCGTTTTTTTTACACAAACATGGTATACAACAGCTAAGGGCCATCAAAAGCTCACTGTATAACTTCACAGATGACATTGAATTATGTTGGGTTTCGTTTGTTTGGAGCGACAGCTTAGGGTAGCAGCTAAGACATCAAACTGGAAACTGGGAAAGTGTGAGTTCTAGTCCCAGCTTAGCTACAAAGCCAGCTGGGTGACCTTGAGCCAGTCACTCTCTCTCAGCCCTAGGAAGGAGGCAATGGCAAACCACTTGTGAAAAATCATGCCAAGAAAAGTGCAGGGTTTTTTTCCAGGCAGTCAAGACTTGGATGGGATTGCATGAAAAAAAAAATTGCAGTAGTCCAAGTCGTACACCACATTAATTGTGGAGTCCTTAGTGCTCTCTGAACTCAGTTATTTGCTTGCCGACATTTTCATTACCTGACTAGGTAACATCATCAGTTCAAGGGAGTGTGGTCCCGGCTCCCTGCTTACATACAGCATCTTCCCTTGCACTGTTAGCGGTGGTTTGGTTTTATCCTTCGTAATACCTTGATTGGAATATTGCTTTCTACTTGATTGTTTGGCTGATGTTAATCCCTGCTTATCTAGGTGTAGGCTGATGGAAATGTGTTCCGATCTTTTTTGTTTCCTTCTTGGCTTTTTTATTGTCTCTTTTGAATGTTATGTAAATGTGGTTTATCTTTATGTGCCTATTTGTCTGGATGCCAAGTTTTCAAGACATCTGCAGCATTTTTGGATTTTGCTCGGTTTAGGATGCTCACCGTTTCCCAAGTGAAACTATGATTGAGTCTGTCCATGTGTTATGAGATTAAAATGGTTTCATTGTGCCTTCTGACTGCTGTTCTACATAGTGACCGTTACAGTCCTTACGCTGTACGTTGGAGAAGATTCTTATTTTTTCTTCTTCTTGGGTTACTGGGTCTTTTGGTTTACTTAAGATGTTTTGGAAGGCTTTCGTTGTTTGGTGTGCTACGGTGGTGTCATATGGTTGTAACAGTCTGTTGGTTCTTTCTGAGATGTTTTGATACTGTCATCCTTTTCGTTGCTTGTGTTGGTTGTGCTATACTGGGTTGAGCGGTTAGGCAGTTTTTGATAAAGTTGTGCGGGTATCAAAAAACGATGCGTGTAAACAAAATGGTGGGTCTCAAAAATGATCAATCGGGCCTAATATTTTGATTTAAACAAACAAATAAATCAGGGAAACCACACGATCCCACGATGGCTTAGTGAAATCTCTGAATCTAGCCGTTCTCTCTGTACTAATCCATGGCTGTGATAGATGATATGACTGACCCAGTTGGGAAAAAAAATTACTTTGCCAGAAGCATATAATCACAGATTCTCCCAGTTCAACTCATAATGGCCATTTGGATGACTTTCACTTCCTTCTCTTTTTTTTTTAATTGCAGAAGAAATGTACCAAAAACTCTGGTGGCCCCAATCAAGGGAGGCTTACCAACCCCGTTCTTCCCCTGTCCCAGATCTTATTATGTAGACACAGTAGGACTGAAATGTCCCCAACAGAGAAAGAGGCCAAGTTCCTAGAACTGCCCCATTTTTTTGCTGGGCTAGTTTAGCATTTCATCTCTCTGATAACAGCTGCAAGAGAGGGGACAACAGTCCATCTTTCACCACTGACCAGGAGGATCAGCTTAACCCAAAGCAACCCCAAACTCAAACTCTGCTGACTGGTTGGTGGCATTCACACGGCACGCTTCCCGTTAAGCACATTATCTGACCGCACACAGAGCATCATTCGGTAGGGAGCCTGCCGGAAACTTAGCAGCAGCTCCGATTTTGGAAAGCTTAATGACAAAGAAAAGAAGAAAATAAATAAATCCCAAAGGGGGCTACGAATGTATTTCGACGATGGAGGATTTGTCAGAAGAAGAGGTGTTTCATATCTCCCAGGGCCAATCGTGCAACTCGACGGCTTTGGGGGCCACCAAATTCAACCCCAGAAGCTGCGGCGCAAAAAAAAACCCCGAGGTTGGCCATGGATTCAGTCACTGCAGGAAGGAATTGGAAAGGGTTCAACGGCGTTGGTGAAGGGAGAATAAGCCTTTGCATGCTCAGAGGCTTGGCGTGTGGACATTCAAAGCGGTTGGAGTCAGGGCGAGGAAAGGGGTCCCCATCTCCCCACACGTATGGAACAAAAGCATTTGAGGGGGGGAAAAACACGGGTTAACAGGGGAGTGAGCAGATAATCCCACCTCCCTCTTTGTCTTGGAGGGGAGATCCCCCCCCCAGCTGCCTAGGGAAGCCGATCCCTCTCCGGGGCCGCGCGAATGCGGGGGAGTTTTCCTCCCTCCTTCCCCTCCCCTCCCTCCCTCCCTCTCTCCTTCCCCCCTCCCCACACCCAACACGCCACGTGACTTCGCCCCTGCGCTGTGCGCGGGGAGCGAGGCAGAGAGGGCCAGCAACCGACCCGGTTGCAACCACCGCGCACGCAGGCGTGCGAGGACGCGCGCAGGGGAGGCAGGCAGGCAAGCAGGCAGGCAACCATCGCGCGAGACCGCTTCCCCTTCTCACCTTCGCCGCCCCCCCCTCCCTGCCCAAACCCTGACACGCGTGCAACTGTGGGCGCATCTCGCTCACCTGCTCTCTCTCCTTGCGCTCGCCGCTGCCCAAGCTGGCTGGCCTGCCTGCCTCGGCGCTGCGTCCTTGCTTTTGGCACCCCACCCCACCCCACCCCGCCCGGGCGTGCCTCAGCCCCATCTTCAGCCGAGGGGGTCCTCACCCCCCCCCCACCACCTTTCTAGAGCCGCCAACAGAGACACGGGTTGAGGACCAGAACCCCGAAGGAGGAGGAGAAGGAGTCAGCCGGCGGCTGCTTGGAACGCCGTGGTGCTGAAACGGACAGCTCCGCGTCGCCGGCAATGCGTTGACTGGCCTTGGGCATCCCGAAGTCGTGGGAAGGGGATCTCTCAAGACTTCCTTCTGCCCTCTTCCCCCCACAGCTCCTCTCCCCTCCCCCCCTCCAGTCCTTCCTTCCACCATCCGCGGGCAGGGACCGCTTGCCTTCGATGCTGCCGCAGCTCCCGGATCTACCATGCCTTGACGCCCTCCTGACCCAGCAGCTTCCATGGCGGTGGCAAGGAAAATCAAAACTTTGTTGACGGTGAACATCTTGGTTTTCGTGGGCATCATCCTCTTCTCGGTCTACTGCAGGATCCAGGACCGCTCCCAGGAGCTGGTGCAGATCGTCCAGAGCGCCGACCGACGGATGAGGGGACGGAATGCCAAAGTGGGCGCCCTGCTGGACAGGGAGGCCATCCTGCAAAGGTTGGACCATCTGGAGGAGGTGGTGTACAACCAGCTCAATGGTGAGGAAGGGAGGGGAGCATCAGGGCAGTTGGCCGAGCAAATTTGGGGGAGGGGATATTTGATGGCTGAATAGTGCTGCCTAATAGCTAGCTAAGAGTACGAGGATGTGAGTCAGAGGCAGGGCGATCGTATGCTGCTTAGACCGTGTAGAGTTTTCTAAAGCTTGGGTAGACTGTAACATCTTCTATCGAGTCACTGTCTTTACTAAGATTGAGCAAAAGTGGGTTAAAACATGGGGATTTCAGACCCATGTCTCTTCTGGGCATCATTTATTCTGGAATTCCATGTTGAGCTGGTGCCAGAGGGCTTGCTGAACTTTTAACAGGAGAAAGTTGGAGCTGATGCAGTACTTCAGACTTGCTATCAATTATTTTCAAATGCCCCTGCAAACAATCTGGATAACCAACACAACTCAAACTGTACGTAGCCAATCGAAAGCTCTACATACAGATCAGCAGCAGGTTTGTCCCAAGGGGACTTTCATTCAATTTGGTCAGAGGACTAGAGTTGCAACTCAAATATCTGTGGTTGGCTCCTTACACACTATAGCAGAGGTCCCCAACCTTTTGGGCACCAGGGACCGGTTCTGTGGAGAGAGGTTTTTCCGTGGGTGGTTTTGTGTGCTGCCTGCATCCCGCAGAAGGGGCTTTGCTAGTTTCTGTGGACCGGTTGCTGGCATGCCACAGCCTGGTACTAGTCCATGGACCGGGGGTTGGGGACCCCTGCGCTATAGGGTCCTGACTTTAATGGCCTCACCTAGTGTAAATCTAGAACATCTCAGCCTTCATTTCCTCTCTGTAAAATGGGCTCGTATGTAAAGGTGCACCCCTTGGTTTCTCATTGCATGGACCATGTACATCTGGATGAACTGAATTTGCAGAGCATGTTTGGAGAAGGGAAGACACTGAGATCCTGTATTCAGTTGTGGAGACAGGCTGTCTTATTGATAAGGGCACCTTCCTTTGGTGGCAGAAGATACAAGGGAAAGGATGGACCCATTTGATTTGGGTGTGGTCCTATAGACCATCAAGGCTCATCAGATTGTTGGTTGTTGGTGAAATAAAGAAGAGGGGATGTTTCTTGTTGGGACAATGATGTGCTTGACTGAGGATGCTTTGCTGAAGAAGCCAAGCAATTGGGGGGGGGGAAGGGAGGATACAAATTTTGGCTAAGTCCCTTCCCTCCAAGTGACTCTGTGCCAGCTGCTCCTTCGTATTTACAATTCTTTTGCCAGCACCATAGATGACCCATCTGTTTGAAGCAATGCAGTAGGATTGCTTGGTGGCCTCTCCTTCACTGTGTCTTAGTTGGTGGTTTGATGCTGTAAGATGAACCAAGCAGTGTGTGAAAACAGCTGGTCATCCTTAAAAAGTTGGAGATGATTGCAAAAGCCAGGCTCCGTGGTTGTCCCAAGCAAGTGGACGCTTCAGCCAAGTTGCTTGAACGGAGGCCCAGTGAACTAAAAGGAAGAAATATTTCATTCCGAAGCCACCTTTTTAAAATGACTAACGATGTGTCCTTTCCGTTGTGTCCACAGAGCCAATGAGTGCTGTAAAGCACTTTTCAAGTTCCAAAACTGCATTAACAGGCTGCAAGGCTATATCAGCAGTACAATTATCTCGTTTTCTGCTGTTCTTCAGCATTTCTTTAACCTATCCGCTATCATTACTGTTCCTAGTTCTCATGAGGGCAAATGTGAGTTTCTTATTCTGTCACCCCTCCTCCTTCTGTCACCTGAAAGAGGGCGTTTAATTAAAAAACTAATTTGATGTATATAAATTAAATCGTAGGTTATTGCGTGGTTTAAATCAAGTTGACCCTACCTTATTATATTGGTCCTACTCTTTCTTTTCTTTTCTTAAAGGAAATGTCCACTATCTGATAGGAGCATTTGATTTTACATTTCAATATAAAAGCCGAGGACACATCATACTTTAATGATACTGTTTGAGAGGCACTTGTAAGACAAAGTAGCCTACTTCAGGTTTGGTCACAGTTAAACTGGTGTAAGCCTTTGTAAAGCACACTGATTTAAACGAGAATCGAGAGCACCGCAGCTACTCATGTCACAGTTGTGTCAGACATAAAATGGAGGAACATCTCAAACAAGTAATCATCACCAAGAACAATCGGTCCCTCTCATACTTTTGAGGATGCAGTGCCGTGTAGATTGATGTGTCTTGCCAGTGGGTTGCCAGCCTGCTCCCGACTCTTTTTGATTGATTGACCTTAAAAAAAAATCAGTTTATGGAATAGGATTCCAAGATAGATTTGATGGTTTCTAAATGATGGGTACGGCTCTCCGGTGAGTTACAAGACAGGAAGGATTATTGGATTACTAATGCGGAAAGTCTTAAGACTGTTTGATGTCCCTTCTCTTATTTCTGCAGTTGTGTGCATTTGCCCTGTGAAACAAAGTAATCTTTTTGATCTAGAAAGAGTTTGCATCCCATGGTCCTAAACCCCACCCAAATGGGAAAAAAAAATGAGCTGAAACCTTTCAGTCATGCTCCTTTTAATAACTGATGCCTTTCAGCATCCTGGAAGCCACCTGGAACTAAGGAGAAACTTCCTAACAGTGAGGACAATTAACCAGTGGAACAGCTTGCCCCCAGAAGTTGTGGGAGCTTCATCACTGAAGGTTTTTAAGAAGAGACTGGACAGCCACTTGTCTGAAATGGTATAGGCTCTCCTGCTTGAGTAGGGGGGTGGACTAGAAGACCTCCAAGGTCCCTTCCATTCTGATCCCTTCAGAAGATCAAGGAATTTGAAGGAGGCCTCTGGGCCCCTGAAAAGTTCCCCACTTCAGCCTTGGGGGTGAATAGGGAGTGTGCAATCTTGCTTGTGTTCATTGTCTTTGGTTTCTATCAGTTCTCTGTGGCTTATACTCTAGTTGTAGAGACTGAAAGTTGCATTCTTACATTTGGAGAATTATTTGTTACGACCGTCTCTCACATTTACGACCACGGTAGCATCCCCAGGTCATGCAGTCAAAATTCAGACGCTTGACAAGTGACTCATATTTATGACGATTGTGAATTTCTGACTAGCACAGTCAATGGGGAAGCCAGATTGACTTAACAGCCAGATTGACTTAACAACTGCAAGGATTCACAGTGTTAACAAATACGGCAAGCGAGGCTATAAAATGGGGCCAAACTCACTTAGCCAATGTCTCACTTAGAAGCGGAAATGTTGGGCTCCAGTGTGGTCGTAAGTTGAGGGCTACTCTATTTGCTTTCCCCTTGCTGGGCCAATGATTTTCTTTCCCTTTTTTTTTTTTTTTAAATCGAGGGACTTTCAGATTTCTTTTCCCTGCTCAGCTTATTTCTAATTCACAGCCTTGCTTTGTTTTGTTTATTTTGCTTTTAATTGCAGCCAACTACCCTGAGCAATGAAACATGGTTGGAACGTCAAGGGGAGAAAAGAAAAACAAACAAACCAAGATAGAATATGTTTCCCCTAAACTATGTTTGTTAACCACAGGCATCTATTTTATTGTTGGGAGATTTTAAACTCCTCTTCCTACTTTGACACAGACTCACTCAAACCACCTTGAGGCAAGTCGCTAATTCTTAAGTTAGTTCTCTCAATGAGGAATAAAAAAAGGCAGAATTTATAAAAGATTCCCCAGCAGTTGGAAGGAACCATATATAAACCAAAATATAACCCCTCCAAATTTCCCCCCACCCTCCGTGTAAGCAGATCTCTAATGGAAACAGGCTTGATTTATATTGTGTGGATGTAATTTGCGGACTGGGTAGAAATGTCTAATTTTGAGCCTGCAGAAAAAGTTGAGCTATTTGGCACGTTGCTTCTGTGCTTCTAACTCTTCGCACTTCAATCTCCCCATTCTTAATTTCTGCAACCTGCAGAAGGCTGAGGATGTCCCTCCATTTTGTTCTGTCTCAGGCTAACTCGGTGGTCTCTGAGCTTGGTGGTTTTCTGACAGATGTTTCGTTACCCAAACTATGTAACATCATCAGTATTAGAAGGGAATGGTGTGTGTGGAGAGGAAGAGGAGGAGGAGGAGGAGGAGGAGGAGGAGGAGGAGGAGGAGGAGGAGGAGGAGGAGGACCTCCTCCTCCTCCTCCTCCTCCTCCTCCTCCACGGGATTCTTGGTGCTCTCTGACTTTGGTGGTGTTCTTGCAGATGTTTCATTGCCCAAACTATGTAACATCATCAGTATTAGAAGAGAGTGGTGTGTGTGGAGAGGAGGAGGAGGAGGAGGAGGAGAAGAAGAAGGAGAAGGTGGACTCTGGGGTTCTTGGTGCTCTCTGACTTTGGTGGTGTTCTTGCACATGTTTCATTGCCCAAACTAGTTTGGGCAAACTAAGTTTGAAGATCCCTGATCTAGTGGATCAAGAGGAAGGGTCTCTTCTGGGTCTTACATCACTGGAGGTTTTCAAATAGACTAGACAATTATTTGACCAGGATGTGATAAGGCCTCTTGCCTTGAGCAGGGGTTGGACTAGAAGACCTCCAAGGTCCCTTCCAGCTCTATTCTATTCTATTCTATTCTATTCTATTCTATTCTATTCTATTCTATTCTATTCTATTCCTTATTCTGTTCTGTTCTGTTCTGTTCTATTCTATTCCTTGTTCTGTTCTGTTCTGTTCTGTTCTATTCTATTCTATTCTATTCTATTCTATTCTATTCTATTCCTTATTCTGTTCTGTTCTGTTCTATTCTATTCTATTCTATTCTATTCCTTATTCTGTTCTGTTCTATTCTATTCTATTCTATTCTATTCTATTCTATTCTATTCTATTCTATTCTATTCTATTCTATTCTATTCTATTCCTTATTCTGTTCTGTTCTATTCTATTCTATTCTATTCTATTCTATTCTATTCTAAAATACCTTCGAGGTTGCTTTCAGGCTTTTGATTCTATGTCCTATAAAACAATGTTCGATCTTCCTGGAGAGGTTTATACTGTCAAGCTGCTTACTAATCTGAAAACAACACATAGATTTACTGTTGAGTAAATCTACTCA